GGCGAGAGGGAGGTTCCAAAAAGTGGAGGTTTAGGGGAGGGGCTGGGCAGCAGCCGCCTCTTTTCCTCCCTCATCATATAAGGATTTAAGGAGAGATTGTGTCTTGGAGACCTCTCTCTAGCCAGGAGGCTTTGGCAGTTGGGTACTATGAGAAGTTTTGCTTTTCATTTAGTTTGGACAGTTGATAAACAAACTTGAACTGGAATTCAAATATTTTTTGTAATATTTGCATTAACGATGCTGAACATGTAAACCTGGAAGGTATTAACGGCAGTTCTGTAGGCAGCCTGGGGGCAATGCCAGTCTGGCAGCAGCGTCTGGTGGTGCTCGTGCCTGCTCTGGAAGGGATGGTGACCCTCTGGAAAGGCTGATGGCAAAACCTCCCTGCTAGCCCACGCACGAGGCAGCCAGGGGTGTCTGCCTCAAAGGGAAGCCGCTGCTCAGCCACCTCCTGCTTGGCAGGAGCTGGCTTGGGCCAAGAGTCGGGCTTATAGGGGGAGAGGAGCTATTTAGAGGAATTTAATTATTTAGACTGCACTCAGGGTGGGGGGGGGGGGGACACACAGAGTCAGCAACAGGAAGACAAGAATGGCTGCAAAGGCACCAAGGATTTCTTTGCTTCATGTAACAAACCTCACAGAGCAAGATTTGCAATGGGAAAATGGGCTACATGGTGCAGAGCATTGAAGAACAGGGTGGAAAAGAATAGGCACAGGGTTGCATGCAAAACAGGAAAAGAGAAACATAGCTGTGGGTGAATAAAGAGCAGGAAAATATGAAGAGTAAATAAAGACAACTGAGATAACTGGAAGAAAGGAAGGAGGGAGGAGAAAGGAGGAGACCACCCAATTACCAGAAAACAGACAGCAAGAGGGACTGGAGCCTCAGGGGGGAGGGGGGGACAAGGAAAGAAAAGAGGTCTGAATGGGATGGAAAATAAAAGTAAAACGTCAAGAGAATTTGTAGTGTAGAGAATAGGGATTCGGCATAAAACAGCAAAAAAGGAGAGGTCTCTGAAGGACAGTAGGAGATTGCAGGCTTCCACTCGCTGTCCTGGAAATGATGGCTAAGGGAAAAATCAGAGAGCCCTTCCTGCTATTTCCCCTCTCCACAAGCTCTAAAAACTACTACGTGGTGTCTAGTCTCCCTGATCCTATCTAAATCAGTCCGGCAAACGGGGGAGGAAACACTGACTGCTCAGCTCTAACACCAGAGCTGCTCTGAGCACCGAGAGCGCCCAGCACCAACCAGCCTGGCCCCTGTGCAGGTGCCACCTCTGCAGCAGCCTGCAAAGGGTTCCCCTCTCCAAAGAGGAGCTGAAAACATTTTCCCTTCCCCTTTTCTTTTTTTCCCTTAACACAACACTCCAAAGATTGCATATAAAGTGACAGAAAGCAACAACAGGCTTGAAAAATGAGACCTCTCTCCTCGAAGGTGCCCAGAGCTCCACCTTCCCTCTAACCTCTTAGTTACCATTTGTCACAGGCTTTCATCAGTCACTGCTTTCTGCTCCATCCTTGCTCCTACCTAACCTCCCCCCAGTCCTCACTCCAGCAACCTGTGTAAAGGTGTTAAGAGGCTCTTCCCCAGCCCAGAAGCCGAGTGTTGCCTCCTGCTCTTCCCCTCCTCAC